CCCCCCCCCCACTGGGGTCCTTGGTTCCTTCCGGTTTCGGTTCCAGCGCCAACAGGTCCGCTTCCAAGTCTGGGGACCTCTTGATTTCGATATGGATTGTACAAAAACCCCAAGCTGCTCTTTCCTTCCAAAAACAGCACTTGGCGCTCCCTACTATCAAGGGTCCGGCAAGTCTGATGTATCGACTATGACTTTAATAAAAATGGTATCGTCTTTTATGTACGTCCCATTTTCTAGCACGGTCTGGGCGACAAATACAGGGCACCCAGAGGCAATGTTCATTTCCCCGGTGGGCTTTTTGAAGCTGCTGCTGTTGGGGTCCGGCTTGAAGGCGTCGCCGAGGTGGCGGCGTGACGGTCCCTGGTCCATTAACATGAGACTTACTTTCTGCTTGAACGGCCAAGGAAGCAGCGAATCGTACTCTCCCCTCATGATGACGAAGAACAGCGACAAATGGGTGTTCTTCCCCATGCCGTCTCCGTTCAGGTAGACCCTGGCGCACATCTTGTAGCCGAAGTAGCCTGTGTAGAATGGCTGACTGTACAGTGACAATGTCTTTCCCATGACGGCCTCCTGCTTCCGCCTCTTGTAGTCGCGGATTTTCCAGATCAAGATGCCGTTGTAGCTTGCCGTCTCCAGGACCTGGAACCGGAGGTCCATGTCCGCCAGGCGGATGTCGTGAACGCTCAACATCTGGTCGTGTCTGTTAATTTGGGTCTCCAAGACACCTAAGGGTACAAGGCAGAATGTCAAAATAAATGAATGTTAAAGTATCACACTGCAGGGATATTAGCGATACAACGACTTATGAATCTTCAGCATTTGATACTTCTGTGTGTTTCAGAAGTCTGTGGTAATTTTGGTTTCACCCGCAAAGAGCTCTGTAGGGACACAGAAGTAGCTTAGTTGGTAGATGGGCCCACAGCACACAGCATGCGTGATGCATGCATCCAATATACCCAGGAATGTCAAATGCTGAAGATCTTCAAGGAAGTGTAGTTCTGGTGTGACTGGCCAGTGCTCTGTTGAAAACTCCAACAACCTGACTTCCGGTTTAGTTAGAAGAGGTTTAGCCGAGGAACCTATATAGTGCACGTGCGCCACCCGCGCCTTTTCCCTATACACATAGTACACAGCAATTAAGTATTATAATGAACTAGGGTTAAACTAATACAGCGCGTTATTAATGAGTTGCCCCACTCAATATGGCCGCAAGCGGCGCCCATATTGAGTGGGGCAAGTCAGATGAATAACGTGCTGGATTAGTCTGACCCTAGTTCATTATAATACTTTAACTAAACAATAAAGGTGATCAGCGCCAGTAAGTGTAATGTGGAAATATGAGCTACCAAGCACTAAGGATATAACTAAATATCTGTAAAATGTGAAAAAACAATATTGTGCCGAGCTAATAATCATACATATCTAATAAATTGAAACATATATAAATGAGTCACATATATGAGCCTTCAAACAAATGTGTCGTGTCAGAGCCCAGACCCCTGACAAAGTCACGTGTTTTGACGTAACGTACGTAGGGCAGAGCTCCTGATGTCACCACGCTGAGCCGGACGAACAGTTTTCTTATCACTCTGCTGCCATTTGTACTGCTGGTATGATCCAGCAATACCCAATGCCTGTACTGTTTACACCATTGTGAGTACGCATTTTTTATATAATAAATTGCATTTTATTGGACGTTATGCACTATGTCCTTGTCCTTTTTCTCTTTCCACCTGGATTTATACTGGTACCTGTGATCTGAGGAGACCTTATCGCCTTTTTCTGTGCATGGGCTTCCCTCCCCCATTAAGAAGGGAAAAAGTGCATTTGACCTAGCTCTGTGGGTCTACCTCCCCAGGTGAGCATTCACTTGTTATCATCACTCACTGGGTGGAGGTGAAGGTCTGCCTGCATTGTGTGATTATCCTTACCTGAGAGTTATATGCACATTGGCTGCGAATCATCTGAGGAATTTTTTGCACAATCACCATTGTTTGCGTTTGTTTTTTCCTTGGGACTTTTTTTGCCTATATTGCTTTTTTGTATGTGTGTAGATATTTCTTATGCCTCATTTGTTTGAAGGCTCATATATGTGACTCATTTATATATGTTTCAATTTATTAGATATGTATGATTATTAGCTCGGCACAATATTGTTTTTTCACATTATAATACTTTATTGCTGTGTAGTATGTGTATATATGGAAATGGCGCACATGCAGTACAGCGTTCTCGGCTAAACCTCTTACTTCTAACTAAACCGGAAGTCAGGTCGTTGGAGATCTCGAGGAGTTAGAACTTTCGATAGAACACCGGCTTGACTAACAATACTTTTACTGCACAATAACCAAGTAATACTAGCAGATAACACAGCAAAAAAATATACAATAAAAAAAACACAAAAAACTAAATTCTTGTCATTGTTCAGCATTGTGAATGTTTAAAGACTAGTTAAAGGGTTTGTAAAGCCAATTGTTGCCCTTAAACACCCCACCACCACCACCCGGGTCAGGCTAAAGTCTTTCGGTTGTCCTTACCAGGATTCCATGCAGCAGCAGTCTTACTTATAGTCTCCAATTGAGTCAAACGGGTCTGTAGTGACTCCAGAGAGGTCTTTATATTATCTGCATCTTCCCCAGTCTGACGCAAGCCCCGGATTTCCATATCCAAGTCCTTCAGCTTATCTGCTTGGCCTTCGATAACTCTCTGCACAGAGAAAATATCCGCAATGATAAATACACCAACAACTAAAATAGGACGAGATAAGACAATCTTAACGCGATTCTCTTTCAAGTTTCGTTTTTTGATGGCAACAGACGGAGGACTGGGTGGCCAGAATTACAAATCTGTTAGCAGGTATATCATTGTGTTTTAACTGTGCATTCAGCGGTTTGCCGGGAGTTCAAGGATGTATACACCCGGTCCTCAACTCACACATCACTTGCAATGTTTATAAAAAGTCACTTATTAGAAAAAATCACTTATGACAACGCGCGGAGCGCCCCCCTTTCGTCTCGGGTCTTTAAAAAAAAAAAACTATGCAAATGTTTTCACAGAAATTGTCCATTTCAAAGACTTGTGAAACTCTTATGTCAGAGTGAGACATTTCTGTAGCTCAGACACAATGTAGTTCCTTCTTCCCCCTAACGTGCACAGGAAACCCTCTGATTACAGGTAGACGATTGCTTTCCTGGAAGGTCTGAAAGGCATTAAAGGAGAACTGCCAAGAACAGTTTCCATCTAAGCTGAGCACATAAATTCCAGGGTTTCAACAAAAGAACCCTTTCTGTGGCAAAGACTCAATGCTCAATACTCCCCTCTTCATCAGGGCTGGGAAATTAGACAACACAAATTAAACATAAAAAAAGATAATTTTTTTTAAAAAGGGAACTTTTTAAAGCTTTTTTATTTCTCTTTTTTTGTTAATTTAGGACATCTTATTTCCCAGCCCTGACAAAGGAGGAGTATTCAGCATCGACCCCCAGAAACACGTTAAAGGAGAACTATGGGGTTAAGGCTTTTCCCCATAGTTCTCCTTAGGGTAATGGGAGGACACAAACTAGCGTCCTCCCGTCACCCTAGGCTCAGTATACCGCAAGCTGATATGTATGTCTGTCTATGATATTGTTACCGTGTCCTTTGCCATATATTGTAAAACTTCAATAAACATTTAATATGGAAAAAAATAAAAATAAATCTCTTCTGATCTTCTGTCCTGGGCAATAAAGATTTACTGGACTCATACTAAATTTGTGGCGCTCTTCTTCTTTTCACAACATTAAGACTATTCTAGGGACCCCAAAGGATACCCCGCCTGACAGAGAGCTGCCTCCAAAACCCCCTAACCTTCTTACTTCGGGCCCAGCGCTCTACCAACACATCTACTGTCATGATATATTTCCAAGATGCTTAGAAAGCAAAGTTACATTAAAACACTGCACAGTAACAAAGACCTTTCATTCTGACAACACAGCCGCTCGCCGCCGTCTCAAACCCCAAAGGCTTACATTCCTATAGGGCAACACAGGAAATACATTTGTAATAAATTGACAAGGAAGTCAATTTGCTATCTGCCTACAAATGAGATTTATTGTTGTAGGAATGTACGCTGAGAAGGAAGTAATGTAAAAAATAACCAGCAAACAAACTGTCCCTAAATAGTGAGTACAGTACGTTCCTGATCATATATACTACATAAGATCACAACAAATGACGCTGTGCTATATATACGAGTTGCTCTGTTGTTGTACACTGGTATCAATGAATATGTATATTGAAGTATTTTGTGAGCCAAAAACAATGGAATTAAAACTGGGAGAGCAAAAATAGCAGTATTAACATTTACATGAGAGCAGAGGTAGGCAAACTCGGCACTCCAAATGTAATGAAACTACATATTCCCTCATGCCTTTGGTTCTGAAAGACATGCTTGTGGCTATCAGTCTTGCAGTACATAATGGGAGTTGTAGTCAGGCAACAGCTGGAGTGCTGAGTTTGCCTAATCCTGCATTAGACCATATCTTGCCCTTATTCTCTATCCAACACTCAACCAAGAGGCACCAGCTGTCAGAGGCCAGCACATGACCAACAGAGGGCAACCGATCATCAACAGTGTGCAACCAATTGCCAACTATTAACCAACAAACAACAGTGGGCAACTACCAACCATTAACCAACAGGCAACAGTGGGCAACCAATTGCCAACCAACGGTGAACAGTGGACAACCAATAACCAACAATGAAGAGTGGGCAACTAATTACCAACAGTCAACAAAGGGTACTCAATCATCAACAGAGATAAATTCCCACTAAAAGTTCACCTGAACGCCAAAAAAAAATAATCAAACTTCGGTAACTGCCTGGGACCTCCTCCACGGACGGGTTTCACACACAAGACTGGGTGTAATCCTAGAAGAACAAAACCTCTACGATTAACCCCAGCCCTGTGGGTGAAACGCATCAGTGGAGGAGGTCCCAGACGGAGACTCTCTGTTCATGCTGCTCAGATAAATAAAGCTCCTAGCATTTGAATTCTGTTTTAGAGTGCAGCCGGTCTGTTTCTCTGGATTAGTGAGGCCTATGGAGCACAGAACAAGCCCCTGCAGGCATTCAGTACCCGATCTTCCACAAGGGCTTGGTAGCAGCACATCCCATACTTCCAACAAACATCAACAAGAGTCCAACCAACACAGGCCAGACAACCGCCAACGAAGGTCAAGCAACCACCAACACAGGAAAGTCTGCGATCCCGCAGACATCAATGGCATGCAAACCCTTGGGAGAAGATGACGTGTTTGTGTTGCTTACGTGCAGTTGGTGGATTTTGGCTTCATTATTTCGCAGCATCTCTTTATGTCTCTCGATCTCTACTTCAAAGTTACACATCTGTTTGTGGAGTATCTGAATACTTTTGTTCTTTTCTGAACTTTCATTCTGTAACATGGACACCTACAGAGAAGAAAACACATGACACATAGCCGGGTGAATATTCGGCTCCGTTTACAGTAACACAAAAAGTTATCAAATCTGATTTCTGAGGGCGGCCGATATCTGAAATAACAATGGGAATATCTGATACGGTTTACCTAAACCAGCGGTGGAGGGAACCAACATTTGGAGGATCTTCAGAAGTGCAATATTGCAGTTGAGTTTAATTTCAGCCCCTGACACTTTCTGCTGCACAGAATTACTTGAAATGCTTTTTTTTATTTTTTGTTCATTTAAATCTGAACTCCGGAGTTCCCTTTTGCACAATTGTACCGGCTCCTCTCCTGGACTTGCTTTCTCTGATGTCACTGCACACTGGGAGCTTCTCACAATGTCCATTAGAAGTTGCAGCAAGTTAGATAGAGCCCGCCTCATTTCCTGGATGGAGGACATCCAGCATCATCTAGTTCTTTCCTCCCCAGCCTGACTGTCCCTGGCCCACCCCTTTCATTCACTGAATTTCAGATCTTTAAATCATGGAAGCTCGGCATCACATGACGGCATTACCGCAGCTTCCAGTTTTCAGCAAGCTTTGTACCACCCCTCCCGCCAGCTATGTTCTGCCTGCATTGCACAGAGAAGCACAGAGATGGTGATGATGGGTCTAAAATCAGGTATGCAATAAAAAAAAATGAAAAGGGTTTTATTTAATGATGTCATTAGCATGCTCATGAAGGGTAAATGAGAAACCAAGGAAGGCAAAATATAAGCAAACTTTAGTATAGGACCTATTCAAGATAGGTGAGCCTTTATGAAACAAAAAAAAAGGGCAAATCCTCCACCTGCAAGGACAACCATAGGAACAGCATGCTCCTGCTGGTCATAAAGCAGTTTCCACTGGGCGGTTATACTATCGTATTGTCTAGGGTTGCACAGATACCAAGTACAGTACTCGGTACAAGTACGAGTACATGTACCAATACTTTGAGGCTCCAAGACTACACTAGAGAAAAATTCAAAAATTAGGAGGCAGCTGTCATTTGTAAGGAGCACACGGAGCTCCCGGGATTTGTACATCTCTGTTTTAATGTACGATTTTGTTTTTATAAATATAAATAAAGGGATGCAAAGATACCAGTTTTGCGCGTACGAGTACTGATACTTGCCGAGTACTTACAAGTACGAGTACTGATACATTTTTGTTTATGGTCATGCGACAGTTTTTCTAAAACAATACAGACCAATGATTTCAGGACAGTGGTGGAGCGCCAGAGCCCGGCCCCAGCTGCAACCACTGGTAGTTCTCATGAAAATGCCAAGTATCTGCACTGGTACTCGAAAAGTATCTGTGCATCCCTAGTATTGTCTAAATTATTTCCTACAGAGGACGGGGAGCAGACACACAAAACGATGGCAGTTGGCCCCAAACATGCACCTAGGTAACTGGGCTTGCTGTATTTTTCTTGAAGACGTTTTGCTGGTCAACGTAGTCGGATGACCAGCGAAACATATTCAAGACAAATACAGCAAGCCCAGTGGCTTGGATTCATTTTTTCTAAAGATATACCATGACCTGGATGAATGAGAACCCTCACAGGCAAGCACCTAGGTGACCACAGGGACTGTCATCATTCAGTGCCATTGTCAGACCCCCCATCCACGTACAAGCTCAATGCAGCATATGAAAATCTGAGCTCTGAGGAATAAAAGGCTGCCCATAGGATTGGCGCTGAGGCTTTTTTTTTTTTTTTACGGAGGGTACGCCTACATTGTCACAATATTACAAACTCTCAAGCAAGCACTAACCTGTAAAGAAACAGAATACCCTTTCCTGTTGCATGCGCTGCTGAAAGTTGCCCAACAACCCCCCACCCCTGAAGCCCGCATGGAAACAGACACATCCAGGAGCTCTTACTTGTTCTCCCTGCTGACCTCCACTTCACCACTGGCACCGAGATAAGCATACGACCGCAGAGATCGACACCCTCAGAAGTGCCACTTTCCCAGCGAACCTCGTGGGCGGTCTTTGCGGATCGGAACAGCATTCAGAAGCATAGGCAGCAGGACAGATAGGTATTCCTGGGCATTCTGGGCATTCGGTTTCTTTTTTTACAGGCATGTGGTTTGCTTGATAGTTTTTAATCATGTGACAGGGCCTCTTTCACAATCGATACCGGCAAAAACACATTAAAATGTTTTAAATTAATTTCTGACTTTGTCTATGCACCCCGAGGAAGGCGCACGTCTCAGCACACAGGACGTGCAGTCATTCACGATGCACATTATTAACATCCAATGCTGTAAGCCTGGCCCCAACCCTCTGTGGCATCATTATAAAATTTCAGCATGCGCGCTGAAGTCAGCAGCAGCAGGAAAGCCTCCGGGATACTGGCATCGGATTAAAGCACACACACCGAAAAATATCAATCCAGCAAGATGGCAGACGAGGAGAACATGACCCGACTAAAGAAAAGCAACTCTAGTGTGTACTCCTATTACAATGCTGATGTTACAACAGGCTGCTATATGCTGGGACTTTACATCTCCTTTAAGTGGAAGTGTCTGCCTGGCACTGGTAGACTGATTGCACATCTTGCCCTTCCCACCAGGGGTCATGAATAAAGGCGAGTGTCTTGTGTCTGACATATTGGCAGATATCGGAGGTACAGGAAAAGTGCATGTATTGTGACTAGGGATGCACCGATACTAGTATCGGTGCCAATACCGACTATTTGAGCGAGTACCTGTACTCGCCCAAATGCTCCAAAGCCTAGCACGATACCCAAACTTATCAGGAATTCAGGCAGCGAGTCATTACACACTGCCCGTCTTCCTGATTGGCCGGGAAGCCATGACTTGCTGCCCGGCTTCCTGATCGGTTGGGAAGATGGCCAATGAGGGGGCCGGACTGTGCGTCATTACCCATCCCCCCGGCTTCCTGATTGGCCAGAAAGCCGGCTTCATGCTCCCTTGTCACCTGGTGACGAGGGAGCATGGAGCCGGCTTCCCGGCCATTCAGGAAACCAGTCGCCGTATAATGACTCGTGGCCTGGCTTCCTGATTGTTTGTGGAGCTGGCCAATCAAGAAGCCAGGCAGCGAGTCATTACCCACCCCCCGGCTTCCTGATTGGCCAGAAAGCAGCCTCCTGCTTCCTTGTCACCGTTCCATGCTTCCTCGTCACCTGGTGATGAGGGAGCATGGAGACGGCTTTCCTGCTAATCAGGAATCTAGGTGGCGAGTCTTTACATGCCGCCTGGCTTCCTTAATGGGACTTCCGGTATCAGTATTCGGTATCGGTGAGTACCAAAATAAAAATATCGGTACTGAATACTGAAAAACCAGTATTGGTGCATCCCTAATTGTGACCATTTGATTATCCTAAAGGAAACCTTGGACTTGCATAGCTGAAATCCACCCGACTATAATCAATGCTGATGTGCAGCCCTTTT